TTGCTGCTTGGGAGTATGAATAAAAAAGAGGGGTTACATATGAAGTTCCCCTGGGAATGAATATGTAGCGCCAAGCAAATGGTTGCCATTATCCATGCTCATGCTTTTAATCAACAATTTGGCTGGCAAGCATGAGCAGTAAGATGTAGATTGGGGGCAGGAACATATTGGCTTGTATCTAACCATTGGTGTTTTGTGAGCTCAAGGGCTTTTGATCCAGTGAAGGTGTCCATTGATGGAAGAGGCTTGGGAGGTGATTTTTGCTAATTTCCCCCTCCCCTTGTAGCCTCCATTGTCCCTGAAAATTTGTTATGAAGGGTTGGGGGACCAACCAGAACAGATTTTTCTGGGATCTGCTGGGGAAACCAGAATTAGGATTCTTTTTCTTCTCTTCTAGTTTGGTATGTGACATGGGTGGGGAACATTTTTCAGCTTGAGGGCCACATTCCCTTATGGGGGCCTTGGAGAATGGAGCTGGGGGAAAAAGTGGGTAGAGCAATGAATATGACTTGTACCTTCTACCCAGTGCTTTTTTCTGGGGGTAAGCAGGTGTACGCATACCCCTAAACATTTATTGAATCTTTGTCCAGTATTTATTTTTCCTGATTTGAACTATAAAATTGTGATTTTCTTGAGTCAAAATGAGAGTACCCCTAAACATTTTTAAAGAAAAAAAGCACTGCTTCTACCATAGGCTAGTTTCTACAGTCGCATGACCCTCTCTGTTTGTCATCTAGGCAGGCAGGCAGGCAAGTAGGCAACTTTATCAGAATTCAAGGATTCATTCTGGCCAGGCAGAAACACTGAAGGAGGCTTGTGAGGTGTGTGGCCTCTGGAGAAAATCCTGAGGCCTCAAGAAATGCTTATAGAGAGGCCTAGGAGGCCTGAGTGTGTGACTTTTTTATTCATAGACAAAAATGGCGAGCGGTTATCTATTTTGCAAAGGACGCAGGTGGCGCTGTGGTCTAAACCACAGAGCCTAGGACTTGCCGATCAGAAGGTTGGCGGTTTGAATCCCCGCGATGGTCCCAGTTCCTGCCAACCTAGCAGTTCGAAAGCATGTCAAAGTGCAAGTAGATAAATAGGTACTGCTCCGATGGGAAGGTAAACGACGTTTCCGTGCGCTGCTCTGGTTCGCCGGAAGCCGCTTAGTCATGCTGGTCACATGACCCGGAAGCTGTACACTGGCTCCCTCGGCCAATAAAGCGAGATGAGCACCGCAACCCCAGAGTCGGCCACGACTGGACCTAATGGTCAGGGGTCCCTTTACCTTTACCTATCTATTTTGCACCCTTAATTATTAGCACGTGCACCAACATCTTTAGTTCTGTTTTCTAAATCCTGTCATAAAACTCAGGCAGCTGCTTGGAAAAATGATACCAAGCTCTGATTCTAGCAAAATTTATCCTGGACACTACTGCTTCTTAATATTCTTGACGGTTCACATCTGTATGTTGATAACCCATGTTTTTGTGTTCAGCCCTTATGTTGTCAAGTACTATGGCAGCTATTTTAAGAACACAGACCTGTGGATTGTTATGGAGTACTGTGGAGCTGGTTCCGTCTCGGACATAATTAGATTACGTAATAAAACGGTAAGTGTTTAATTATTTTTTATAAAATATTGTTACTTTTGCAGTTGTTTGCATGCATAAAAAAAGTGTTCCCAACAAAGATTTATTTACTTGAGAAGGATGTTCATAAGGGCCCCATACTTTCCCTGTTTACTTTTATATTAGTTGTTAGTGATAGTGATTCTCCTGCTGCTGTTTAAAGTACAATAACATGCCATGACAGAGTCTAATAATCTTTTCAGACCATGTCTAATAAAAATGTAAGAATTTTATGAAAGGGAAATATGACTTATCCACTGTTTTTTCAGAGAACCACAGACTTAACCTTGGCAAATCATATTACTAGTATATACCAACATGTCAGAGGAGTAAGGCTGAGTCTCTTGGGTTGCTGGAATGTGAAGCAGGCCTGCATCAACCAATCTTCATGGCTGTTTATAAGGAAGAAGATATTCTCTCTCTTTTATGTGGTGTTCAAGCTGTAGAGGACATTAAAGTAAAAAACCATATTTGTGGGCTGGTAGGAACATGAACTGGGATGCATAAAGTAGGAATTTGAGTCTGAGAAGCTGATGCTCAGTCAGTGGTTGTGATCCTGACTCAGGAGGGTCATGGAAGGGGCAGACTGGCAAGAGAGGAAACCCTTTGCTGGCTGCTAGGATGAGGGTGCAAATTCAGTTGTATTTATAAGCTGATGTTCATTATTAACATTAATATTTATATTTATTGCCAGGCTGATAGTTTAAAAGTTTAAAGATCATAAACTTTCAATGAACAGATTCTGACTGTAGTTCATAAGCTATTTGGCTCTTAGACCTTTGTTTTTAAATGTGAAATTCACTGGAAAACACACACACATTACATTTGGATGTCAGTGCTTGTTCTTGAGTTCCAGTCACAGTTTGGAGAAAAACAAACCACGGGCGTAGGTTCCTCTGTCAGGACCTGCTATCTACCATTAAACCATGGTTTATTTAAAACAATGACTTATTGTTATACATAAATCAGACCTGTATCTGGTTCAGAATGATAGTTTTACCTTTTCTCCTCTCTTTATTCTCTTTAAAATTATTTGATATGGTAAAATACAAAATCAGTTTGTCCTCCTTTCTTTCCTATTGCTAATTATCCATGAAGGAAATAATGAAACCACTAGAAAATACCTAGTAGAAGTAAACTCAGTGTCAACAATTTTAGTTTAGTCAAGAATTTCATAGAATCATAGAGTTGGAAGGGGTCCTGAGGGTCATCTAGTCCAACCCCGGGCAATGCAGGAATCTCAACTAAAGCATCCATGATAGATGCCCCCTAACCTGTTTAAAATTCTATAAGGATGGAGAGTCCACTTGAGACATGCTTGAGTGTTGTGGGAAGAAAGAGAAAATGATGGACTGACTGGTTTATTATTTCATATTTAGAAGCACATGTATTATATCCATCACAAGGAATTGGAGCTTAGAAGTCAGACTAGCCTTGCAGCATACATATGACTAGGAAGGACTGAGCCTCTTCTCACATTTCCAGTCATATTTCTTCTATGGATATGTCCTCACAGACTAGTGTTTCCTAAGTGCAGTCACCAGAATCAGTGTGGTTGTGAGCTCAGTCCTGTGCTCCTGTGTCTTGGAGGCTGTGTGTTAGTCAGAATCCCAGCAACATAGCATTTACTTAGATTTTCACAGTCTGACTTCTGGTGGAAGCATCCTAAGGCTGAAGTAAGATGTCCTGAAAATGTGGGCCGTCATAGTTAGACCATGAATTCTGTAATCAGAGATGGAGTAGTTCAACAATCTAGACTGATGAAAATGGCATTACTTGTATTTTAATGATGCACATGAATTTGCGTATTTGGGCCCTGTTTTATCTATTCGTTTGCTGCCCTGTAACCATATTCTCAGGGCAGTTTACAACAGAGATAAAAATATTAAAGCTATGTACAATAAATCAACAAAACACATTAAAAATGCATAAAAAACACGGGCCATATGAAACTTAAAGCAGCAATATATTTAAATTTTTGGGGTGGGTGGGAATAAAAAATTACTTGCTTAGTGCTGAATGTGTTCAAGGCTCTTATTATCTACCTTAAGTAGATCCTAAAGTTTAGGCAGGTGTATAGAGAAAGCTGATCCTTCAGGTACCCCAGCCCTAAGCAATAAATGACCTTAAAGATCAAAACCAGCAATTCAAACTCTACTGCAGTCAGTAAATACACAACCCAAAGGGCATATTGTCAGAAAAGTTTGTAATACAATCCTGTTTTGATAAATTGGGAAGACAGGGAGAATTGTATCTATAACAAAATAAAACACAAGCCAGGCTTTGAGTACATTACAAACTCTTACACTCACTTTTCATGTCCTGTTTGTTTAGGTCCTCCGTCCACAGTCTTTTTTTGTGGGACCTCTGCTCCTGTTTGATGCTTGTTGATTTTTGTGGGATCTAATTCATGTTCGAGGAGGTCAAGCCATGTGGATTGGATTGCAGGAGTGGGACCTTAATTGGGGGTCTTGCTTTCTGTATTTGTAAAACATTTTGCATAACCTTATGCGTGCCGTATAAGTAGTAATTATAAGGCAGTTTGCATAATTTTGTGTTACAGTTTCTCAGTCTTTCAAATTGTTTACGTAAGTGTGTAATCAGTGTGTGTACACACAGAAGAAGAAAATGTTATTTATGTTTCTCCATAGCTTACAGAAGATGAAATTGCAACCATTCTTAAATCTACGCTTAAAGGACTTGAATATTTGCATTTCATGAGAAAAATACATAGAGATATAAAGGCTGGAAACATTCTCTTAAACACCGAAGGGCATGCTAAATTAGCTGACTTTGGAGTGGCTGGACAGTTAACTGTAAGTATAAAGTGTATGGGTAGAGTCATATTTTATATATATGCACTTCACTTTCTACAGTCTGTTGTAGGGAGAGATGGAGCTTTTTCCCATTTGAAAGGTGCAGTTAATTTGGCAGTCTTTGCTTACTGAAGTCAGCTTTTCTTGTGTGTGCCTTTTGAATCTTGTCCAAACAGTGTCCTGCAGAGCTTTTGAACAGTGGGTTGAGCCCAGACTTTTTGTTATGCTCAGAGCATGTGTTGAACCATTCACAGAACCAGTCCCGCATGTGTCACTTGGCTGGGAAAGTAATGTGAACAATGGTTTGCCTTTAGAGATGGAGGCCTAACTTCTGACAATACTTTCTCTATCCAAGTTGCAAATAGACCATGTACTGAAAAATACACTGGATTATGGACTGTTGAAGTTGAATGTGGGATTAGATATTTAGGGTGCTTAATACATTATATGGTGGCATATGTATTTGTGTAGAGAGCTGTGGCCGGTCCCAATGCCCTGGTGCATATGACTGTAATTTATTTGTGCTTAGATGCACATTTTCTGTAAGCACATATTGCAATTACACACAGAGGTTGTGTATATGTGTGTTTGTGTGTGTGTGTGTGTGTGTGTGTGTGTATATATATATATATATATATTTATATACATTTACACACACACAGACACACACACACACAAACATGTGTAATGTATGAAAAAACTATGCATGTGTTTGCGGCTTCAAATATTGTTTAATTATTAAAGGCACAAACATGGCCTCCAGAACATTGTATTAGACTCTTTTGTACCTATCTAAAATAAGGCTGTTTTTCTTGGAAATATGCCTTTTAGGAGAAAGCGCATTGTTGAGCTTTCTTGAGGCACAAGTGTTAAAGTTCAGTTGCACAGATTCCATGTGATATTATAATGGGAGAGAGAGATGAAAATACATTGAGAGATGTTAAGCTTCTTAATAATGTCATTACAGGATACAATGGCAAAACGCAACACTGTCATAGGTACTCCATTTTGGATGGCTCCAGAGGTAATACAAGAGATTGGTTATAATTGTGTGGCAGACATCTGGTCCCTTGGCATTACCTCAATAGAAATGGCAGAAGGAAAGCCTCCGTATGCTGATATACACCCAATGCGGGTAAGAATCATACACTGTGACTTTGTTATTAATTACACGCTGTATAATGTTGCTCATTGGAAAAGTGGAACAAGTGGTTACATTGGTCATCTTGAGTTGAATGTCCAGTTGCTACTTTGATTGGAGATTTAAAACTAAACTGCTGCGAGTAAAGTGTAAATTTTATAGTGGTAGAAGGCACTAAAATATGCTACACAACAGTTAATATAGTCCAAAAGTGACCCTTTACTTCATGTCGTTTAATAGGCAGCTGTTGCTGTTAATGACATGGTTTAAAATCTTAAGTTTAATTACACCTGCTGCTTTGATTTCCCCCAAAAAGACAGCTACTGTCACCAAGGATATTTTGATGTTTGCTTATCTAATGATTCTGCTCTTTTGGGCATTTTAGGAGTTAATCACTTTGCACAGGGGTGGAGAACCTGTTTCTCTCCAGATGTTGTTGGATTAGATATATCTATGCGATGTCACTTCTTTTGTTCCAATAGGAAACAAACAAAGCTGTAACTATGGACATACTATGCCTGATATAATTAATTGTAAACCTTTATTTATTGTCTGTTATTATTTATGTGTGCACGGAATGTGAAAAAGGCAGTGCAGCTGCTACTTTTGATGGCACTGAAAATGCATAGGCAATCTGTATTTCTGGCTTTTTGGTGATACCCTTGATCATTCTGGCTTGTCAAGGGATCAGCTGTGAAAAAGGATATTCCATCACTCATGTGTCTTGTTAAAGGGTAATGGTGTGTATTTTGTAGTGCGTGAACTGAGTTTGGAACTTGAACTATTAATTATCTTACAGAAGCAGCTAATTTTTCTTATATAATAAAGCTATTTTGGTCTTATGTTTAGGGTGAAAAGGAAACATTTTTTTTAATGTTTTTTGAATCTTAAAGAAATATGTACCCTTATTCTTGGAGACATAATGATTAGTGATGACTACAATGGTTTCTTAAAATTTAATGATATCATCCTCTTTACATCTGGGATAACTTTGACATAATTGCTTGTAGTTGCACTTGGTAATGAAAGGTAAGAGCTTAAATTATTGGAGAATATTTTCTAAGCACAATAGCTGCTTTTAAACTAAGGGTTAGTGTTTTAACTTGACAGAATGTGAATATTTGTAATGCTTGTAATCAGTCGTATTAAATCAAAAGGGCAAATTCATTTTAAAAATAACAATTCTGGCTTACATGGTGCACATGTTCTTGTTAATAATTTGTGTTCTGGTTTTTAAGGGCTTGTAAGCAGTTAATACTCTTTTGTATATTTGATACCCTACAGTTCTTCTTAATTTTTATTAGAGAGTTGTTACAGTGGTTGAGAAGAAATACACAGATTTCAGTTGTGATAGTTTTCCCAGTGTTATATGATCCAACTTCACAAGATTCCTGGACATATGTAGATGCTTTTCTATTTTGTTTTCGTTAAGACATTCAATTGATATAGGCAAGCATGAAAGCTCGGGCAAATTTTCATTGCTTTTTCTGGATCTTGCTTAGATTCTGTGGTATTTATGTAAAACACTGTTTTGTTACTTGGGAATGCATGCTGAAGTTATTCCTTATGCTATTTTGCTGTAGGCTGGTTGGCACTGCCACAAAGGTAATGCATTGCCAGTAGGCCATTTCCTTGTCAATTGCATTTACAATCTAATAGAGATATTACATGACTTTTTAAACAAGTGTTTTGGCAGGGGCGGAAATGGCAGATTCCAAGCAAACAAGCATAGCTTCCTCTCCCTAACCACACACTAGCTACTCAAGGAGTTGTACTAAATCTTGTGAGAGTGCGAAGGTAAGGAAAGGATTTCAGGTTGAAAGATGGCAATAAAAGTACTTTAGGGCTCAGTATTTGGGAATATATATCAGATCTTTGTCAAAAACCAACCCATTCTTGCTGCGGTTGGAAAGGTGTTGACAATCAGCCAATGCAGTAGGCTATTTACTATATTTTAAAATCTGTGCAGTATGCCTGGGGCTACTTTCCACACTTGATCTAATGTTACTAGTAGTTTTAGGAATGTCAGATGTAAGGGCCACCTGCTTTGTTGGCATCAGTGAATGTTCTTTTTAGATGTTAAAAACCTTTAAAGTATCAACTTTTTGTGGCAGGAAGTCTCAAAGGGGAAAAGATTTACTTGGTGTAAGTAGTAGATTGCAATCTCTAGTGGAAGTGCTTCAGAGTTCCTGTTCATATATCAGAGTTGAAGTAATGGTGAAACAGATTGAAATATGAAAGATGGCTATAATGGGGACATTGCATAAATGTTTCTGTTCCAGTATTGTGGCAACTCTGTGTGGTGGCCTGCCACCAAAAACCAGCATCTCTTGTACAGGGGTAGGGAACTTGCGGCCTTCCAGATATGGTTGGACTATGGTTTACATCGTCCTTGTCCATTGGCCATGCTGTTTGGTAGTTCAACAGCATCTGAAGAGCCTCACAGTTTCATCACCATGGTTTAGTATGACCAAACATACAGCTTGACATCACCAGACTGCAATTTCCCCTGCTCCCACAAATGATAGCCAGTGAAATAGGGCAGGGTAAATTTGTCCTATTAAATTTGAGATAGTGTTATGAGTTCTGGTCCCTGCACTTTAATAAAATTATAGACTAATAGGAATGGGTCAGAGTAGGACAATGAAGATGGTCTACAGTATGGAAAACAAACTCTGTGAGGAAAGACTGAAGGATCTGTTTAGCCTGGAGAAGACAGTTATTTTCATATATCTGAAGGCCTCTCACGCAGGAGAGGGCAAAGTTTCATTCTCTGCTGCCTTATAGGGCAAAACTAGATCTATCAAGACTTCAGTTACAAGATGGTCCGTTTCATAAGAAGAGCCTGTTGGATCAGGTCAAAGGGAATTGACCTGTGACAGGGCCTTTTCAGTGGCAGTTCCCCATTCACAGAATGCCATCCTTGGTGAGGTGTTTCTGTCTCCCTCTTCATTAACTTTCAAGAGGAATTAAAAAACATTCCTGTTTACCCTAGGCACTTGATGTCTGAAATACACTGTTCCTGGCAAGCCTCAGATCACTGATTGAGATAATGTTTTTAACTCTTTTTAGAATACTTAAATATATATTGATGTGTTTGCCACACTGGGCTTCTTTGAGAGGAAGGGCAGGATGAATGAATGAATGAATATTGGGAGAACTTCTTTGTAGTTATATCAGCTCAACAGTGTAACCAGTTACCTAAAGGACTGTTGGGCTATCCTCCAAATCCTCTTTTGAAGCCTTGGTGATTCTATGTATATAGTCCCAAGATAATTATTTCTGTATATCTTACACTCTGAAGTAGGTACTTCACATATATTGTCTAGAGAATGGCATTTGTGCTTTACCTAGTGTCACCCAGCAAATCTCTTGGAAAGTGAGGAACACCGTGGAGGCCTCTGAAGCCCAGCTGGAACCTAACCCTGGGCTTACTTTCCTTTTCCTTCCTTTATCCTTTAGAATACACCCACATAAGCTTTCCAAGAAGGCTTCAGCCCTGGTGGCACTCCAAGAAAACATTGCCAACCTTTTGTATAAGCAATCTAGCATTGCAAATTTGCCCCCCCTCTAATTTATGCTGTTTTGTCTTGGGAGAGGCTAGTAATGTAAGCTCTTGAAAACATATCCAGCGTTTGCCTTTATTGTTTTCTATGCTGAAGTTGTTGGTAATGGACATGTGGACATCATATGTTCCACAAAATACCGTAGGAAGCCAATTTGAAATGTTTCCATTTGCCTTAAGTCCAATCATGATATTTATTTTTCCATGGCACTTACCCAGATTATCCATACCTCCTGCTTAGCTTGTGTCACTGCCACCATGGACTAATCTGCTTGTGATCAGTTTCTTTCCAATGTATCTTACAAGCAGCTGCCTTTTGCCACAGAACTCTTGATGCTGTTTATATTGCCATATAGCCTTAGTCTAGATTTGGGCATTCTGCTGGGGATCAGTGTCTGTATAAACTGAAAAGTTAACTTTTTATTTTTTTTATTTTACTTTGAACATTATTAGCTATTGAATGTTGCCCTTTCCTTTTTTCAACAAGCAAGACAGCACCTGGCAACTAAATACACTTCAACATCCCCAAGGTGGTTTTGGATCATGTCTGTTACATGATTGCCTAAAACAAGGGTGGACAAATGTTCTTCTCTCATGGCCACATTCCCTTGATTAGTTGATATACTAACACTAGAAGCTTTCATACCAAGATGGGTAAGCTGGAGTGCGGATATATAGTGAGCATAATGGAAACCTGGTGGAATGGAGAAATTAAGTTGGACACAGTTATCTCTGGATGCAAACTCTATAGGAAATATAGAGAAGAATGTACTCTGGAGGTGGTGTGCAACTCTACATTATAGAGTGCACAGCCCAAGTAGCTAGAAATCCCAAACAGGGCATACTCCTCCATGGAAACACTGTTAGTGGCAATACCAGGTCCCCAAAGTAATTTTGTATTGGTGATACACTATTGCCCCTCTGGCAAATCCAGGGTCTTCTTGAGATGAAGAACAAAATAAAGCAGGCATCCAAAGGAGAAA